AGCTAGGTACATCCCTAGTTATCATTATCCCTTACTCTATTCTAAATGGGGAAAAAATATTTTACCTTTTTAGTTCTGCTTTAATATCTGCCAACTGACCAAATTCAGTAATTTTAACTATGGAGTTTTAGGCCTCGTTCACACGGGTTTACTTAACCTCCCTGGCAGTATGATTGTCAGGAATTTTGTGCTGAAAGCGGTACCATTTTTTTGCATGGAAATATGTAGTTTTTAATTGTAGGCTGTAATTTTTAGGAATAACTCACTGAAATCTATCCGAAAAAGAGTCTATTAAACATTCCGGATATGATAAAACTTGAAACACGAAATCATAAATTATAATTTAATAAATAATCATAAAAAATAATATAATAATAATAAATTTAATTCAATAATATAATCAAACCAAAGACACTGAAATTTGAAATACAGAGGCAAATTCGCACATCGCTGAGCAAAGTCGCAAAATCGTTTTCAGTGTCTGATGACGAATTTCCCCACAAATCATTATCACTCAATTCTGCAAAGGTTCTGATTTACTATCGCTGTTCTAAAACCGCTTTTGATGTAAAGGGACGCTTTTTGGCCGCCATGGACTTTTCTAAGTTTCCAGGCAGAAAGAACAGTCAAAATGCAGGCAGGGCACAGGACAAAGCAGTAGGGACAAAATGTATGTGAAATGCAGTGAAAAAGCAATGACAGCAAAAATGTCATTTTTTAAAAATTTCAAATTTCCCGCCGGTTCCGCCACCCGAACGTTCCGACGTCACGGGGACCGGAACACGGAAGTCAGATGCCGGCATCCGCCGGAGGAGATGGACGGGGACACTGCAGGGGACCCATCGTGGGAGCGAAGGACAAGGTAAGTGCTGCAGGGACCCCCAGAGAACGCTGCATAGTAAGCCCGAGTGTAGCTCGGGGTTACCGTTCTTGGTATAGAAATTCTACCCCGAGCTACACTCGGGAACACCGCCAAGGAGGTTAAACATATGCACATGTGAAGGCCATGTTTGGCTGCATGGGGATGAACTGGTGTTCGGTGCATCCCTGTGCAGACAGTCGCATTCATGTCAATTGGAACGCAGTGGTTGTATGGACACAGTTGCTGATCACAATTTTAAATCTGTGTGAGTCCCTGAATGCACAATGTTTTGGAGGACCCACGCCTGCATACACTTTTAGTCACAACACAGCTGTCAAATACTGAGCATTGGCTGTGTCCTTGCAGTTGGTGCATCCCAATTGACATGAATGGGACTGCCTGCATGGGGTGCAAGGAACACGTGCATCTCCGTGTGGGCAATCATGCCCTCGTAAGGGTGTACGCCTAATGCCCCATACACACAATAAGAAAATTGTACAAATATTTTGTGGAATCACTGATCGAACGATTTTCTCTTCGTTGATGAGCAGGATGTTTTAACCGATAACGATATTATGAACAAAAAAATTTGGTTGAACAACAGTGAAAAATTTTGTCGTTTTGTATATGAACAACCGATTTTCTATGCGTTTGGTATGACGGTCGTACGAAAAAAATCCATCAAGTGCTATCACGCATGAGCGGAAACAGAAGATGACTCGGATGTTTATGTCCAAGGAATCTTCGTAAACGCGAATGAAAAATCCAAATGTTAAAAGTAGATTGGCCTAATGAGATAATGAAACCAGAATTCTGCATATTATATTTTATGTATCACTATTTATGTATATAGATAATGTAATAAACTATATTATACTCATTGCTGTTAATTGTGTATATCGCTGGTTCTGGCCGGAAGGGCGTGGCTACAAGGTCACACACACTGCATCACTTCCATTTGTACGGAAGATGTCAACACTACGTATTGCCTAATGAACAATTTTTTTAGATTGGTTAATGTGGGCCATGATTTTGACCAACGAATGAACGCCTCTCAGTAGTTGGATGACCGATTTGGTCAATTTTTTAATCGTGTATTCCCACCATGTTTGAATGAGGCCTTACAGCCTACTGAACTCTTTGCCCTTCTACTTTCTCATTATTGTTCTTTTTACAATAGTATGGAATCTTAATCTTAAGTTCTAATATTGCATGTGGTCTCATTTTGGGTAAGCCTATAATTCTGTATTATTATTTATTTATTTTTTTCATTTCATCTATGTTATCATTAGTTAGTTCTAACTGATTATGCTTTTTTTTTTTTTTTTTTTTTTTTTTTTTAATAGTTTATACAAGTTGCTCTAAGTCGCTTGCTTGATTATAGTTTAATAAAAAAGTACGGTTCTGCAGTCGAAATACCAAACTGTTTCCTCAGCTTTGCCGCTTTGATCTAGATAGCACCTTAGGATACCTCGCTAGCACTGCAATGTCAGATTTGTGGTGCACTGAAAGAATACTGCATACTGCAGTTATTATGCAGTTTACCTTGAGTGCAGTAAAGGATGTCCTTGAAAGTGTGCCTTTCCCGATTATGAAAACCACTTTAAATTGCAGGCTGCCTTTACCTGCTGTTTTAGAGTGACACTTACAAATCACCTTACAATTACCATCCACTTTGTTTTAGAAAATGTCAAGATTGTTTTGTATTGATTTTTCTATAACTAAATTTTACAGTATGCTTTAAAAAACCGTACAATATAATGCATGGTCTGCCTAACATATCGTGGGCCCCCTCCTCATCAAAAGAAAAAAAAAAGCTTTTGAGGGAAAAAAATTAAGTAAATATACCTACCTTATCTGTAGCACCTAGATGAAAATGGTGTCATTTTCCTTTCCAGCAAGATCCCAGGAAATGGCAAGTACCTTGAATCTCAGCATTTTCTGATGGTATTGTGTCTGTGTACTAACAGTTTTTTTTTTTTTTTTTTTTTTTTTTTTTTTTACAGTAGTGTGTTTTTTCTTTTGTTGTTGTAAGCTGCTTTTTGTGATGGGGTAGCAGACCTTTCACCATTTACTGCACTTTGTCATTCCTTTCCACCTCACAATTGCTAAGAATGTTCATGTTTTCTAAATTGTATATCTTTTTTTTTTTTTTTTTTTTTTATAATGTTACTCATCCATCCTATAATTCCCTTTTTTCTGTTGGTGGGTATCCCTGGCTTCCCGTATCTTCCTTTGGATATTGTCACACATCCCAACGTGGTTGATAGATGCAGACGTATTGCGCGAATTTGCGTCTGTATACAGCAATGGTCAAAAGTTTTTTCAGAATGATATGAATATAAATTTTCCCCAAATCTGCTGCTTCTGTGCTTTTAGATCTTTTTGTCAGATGTTACTATGGTATACTGAAGTATAATTACAAGCATTTCATAAGTGTCAAAGGCTTTTATTGGCAATTACATTAAGTTTATGCAAAGACCTCTGCAATTCACCCTGGCATGCTGTCCGTCAACTTCTGGGCCACATCCTGACTGATGGCAGCCCATTCTTGCATAATCAATGCATGGAATTTGTCAGAATTTGTGGGTTTTTGTTGTTCACCTGCCTCTTGAGGAGGATTGACCACAAATTCTCAATGGGATTAAGGTCTGGGGAGTTTCCTGGCCATGGACCCAAAATGTTGAGGTTTTGTTCCCCAAGCCACTAAGTTATCACTTTTGCCTTATGGCAAGGTGCTCCATCATGCTGGAAAAGGCATTGTTCGTCAACAAACTGATCTTGGATGGTTGGGAGAAGTTGCTCTCGGAGGATGTTTTTCTACCATTCTTTATTCATGGCTGTGGTCTTAGGCTAAATTATGAATGAGCCCACTCTCTTGAATGGTCTCAGGATGCTTTACTGTTGGCATGACACAGGACTGATGGTAGCGCTCAACATTTCTTCTCTGGACAAGATTTTTACCAGATGCCCCAAACAATCAGGGGATTCATCAGAGAAAATGACTTTACCCCAGTCCTCAGCAGTTTATCCCTGTACCATTTGCAGAATATCAGTCTGTCCGTGATAATTTTTCTGGAGAGAAGTGGCTTTCTTTGCTGCCCTTCTTGACACCAGGCCATCCTCCAAAAGTCTTCATCTCACTGTGTGTGCAGAAGCACTCACACCTGCCTGCTGCCATTCCTGAGCAAGCTCTGCACTTTTGGTACCCTGATCCCGCAGTTGAATCAACTTTAGGAGATGGTCCTGGCGCTTGCTAGACTTTCTTAGTCTTCTTCACAACGATTGAACCTCTCTCCTTGAAGTTCTTGATCCCATAAATAGTTGATTTAGCTGCAATCTCAGTAGCAGCAATATCTTTGCCTGTGAATCCCTTTTTGTGCAAAGCAATGATGACTGCACGTTTCCTTGCAGATAACCACAGTTAACAGAGGAAGAACAATGATTTCAAGCACCACCCTCTTTTTAAAGCTTCCAGTCTGTTTATTGTAACTGAATCAGCATAATAGAGTGATCTCCAGCCTTGTCCTCGTCAATACTGACATCTGTGTTAACAAGAGAATCATTGACATGTCAGCTGTTCCTTTTGTGGCTGGGCTGAAATGCAGTGGAAATGCTTTATTGGGGATTAAGTTCATTTTCATGGTAACGAGGAACTTTGCAATTGATCTGATCACTATAACATTTTGGAGTATATGCAAATTGCCATCATAAAAACTGAGGCAGCAGACTTTGTGAAAATGTAATATTTGTGTCATTCTCAACTTTTGGCCAGGGCTGTACTGTAGCTGATATCTATTTAGGTGCAAAATCTCACAGTACTTCGGCGCTCACTGACCTGCAGCTTGCGCAGATATGTGATGTGAAAATTCCAGGAAGCTTCTGATGGTTGAAGGTACATCGGCATTGCCTAGGAGAGAGGTGAATAAGTGGGAGGGTAAAGGGGCAATATGAACTACCTACAGTTCACAATACATAAAGTTCTTTTCAGTTGTGAATACGAGAGGGGGAGGAAGGGAATATTAAATTGCAGTAAATTATGAAAAGTCTACTTTTAAAGCAGTAAAGTGTAAGGTCAGCTTAAATTATATCTAAGTACATAATAGGACTTGTCAGATAATTTGTTTTTCTCTTTTAGGTAAAGTGGAAAGGAAAAGATCTGTTTGATTTGGTATGTCGAACATTGGGCCTTCGCGAAACTTGGTTTTTTGGACTTCAGTATACTATTAAAGATACCATAGCGTGGCTTAAAATGGATAAAAAGGTAACAGATTGCTAAAATGCTATGGTTTTTGTCCACTTTTTAGGGGTATTACTTTACATATCAAATTAATTCCCTACAGGTACTGGATCATGATGTCCCAAAAGAAGAACCTGTTACGTTCCACTTTTTAGCCAAATTTTACCCTGAAAATGTTGAGGAAGAACTTGTACAGGAGATTACACAGCATCTGTTCTTCCTACAGGTATGGTCCCATCTATTCCAATCTTTCTTGCATCTGCAAAGTTTTTCCACACTATACAGGCTGGGTATTGCTTGTTGGGTTTAAGGCTGAACTAAATGTTTTAGTGATCTTTTATAGTACAGGTACACGGTACTTTACATATATATATTATACATTCACATCAGTCCCTGCCTTTACGGAGCTTACAGTCTAAGGTCCCTAACTCACTCATTCATACATACACATACTAGGGCCAATTTTAGAAGGAAGCGAATTAAAGCGGAGCTCCAGTCAAGCCTACAAAAAATAAAAGTCCACAGCTACAAAAACTATGGCTGCTGACCTTTAAAAGAACAGCCACTCGCATGTCTTACAATCCAGCGGTGTACTCAATGCAGTCCCTTTCACTGGCCGCCTTTGCTCCCTGGCGCCAGCATCCTAAGTGTGGGCAGCCGGCTATCACAGGTTATGGCTTCACATCAAGGTTCCCACTGTGCATGTGTGAGTAACGCTGAGCCTTGTGAATGGTCCCGTAGTCTTCTGAGACCTGTCATGTGCCCCAGAAGAGTACAAGGAGGGAGAGGGGAGGACGGACAACTTCCCCTTCTGATCACCTAGGTGATCGCAGCGGATGTGGAAGCGGGTACCTGTAAAATTCAAGTGCCCGGTCAAACCACCCTGCTCTCCAAAGGTGCCAATTCCTCACGTGGAGTGAAGGACTAGTACTTAACCTCTTCCCAACCTCGCTATAGCTGAAAGATGGCTACAGCGTGGTTGTCTAGTTCTGGGAGGACGTCCATGGACATCCTCCCAGAACACGCCCCCTGCGCACTCAGCAGCACGCATCCCGGCGATGTGGTAAAAGGCCAATCACGGCAACCTTTTACCACGTGATCAGCTGTGTCCAATGACAGCAGATCACTGGGTAAATTCAGCTGCTGGTTATCGGCTGCACTTTCTCATGCTGTCATATCATGAGGAAAGTACTGCGGATAACCCGCAGATGTCAGAAGAGATTGGCACTGATCATCAGTGCCCACCTGTGCCACCCACCTTTGCCTAGCAGTGCAGCATCATCAGTACCAGCTCATCAGTGCCTCCTATCAGTGCTGCCTTTCAGTGCCCAGCCATGCAGTCTCATCAACGCTCATCAGTGAAGGAGAAAAATTTACCTGCTTGCAAAATTTTATAACAGAAACAAAGAAAAACTTTTTTTTTTAAATTTTTTTGCTCTTTGTTTTGTTTATAACGCAAAAAATAAAATTTCTGAATGAATACAAAGCTGCCTCTGGTTGGCTGAGTCAGGTGGATGTTGTCACAATCTCCGCCTAAGAAAGAAGAAGCTTTTTTTTTTTTTTTTTTTTTTTTTTTTTTTTGTTCATAGAATAGAATTCCTGCAGTGCTCAGCCCAACTTGATTTTATTCTGGGAATTCTCTGTACCACTAACGGACTGCAGTGCTGTATACCGTATCTGAGGTTACGTACAGTTTATACAGAGCTGACAGCTGCTGCATGTGTTTGTTCATTTGGACCAGCTTAGTCCAAATGAACTATTTAAAGTTCTCAAACATGCAGTTCTGCTAGCTGCTTGTAGTGTGAAGTAATTCATTCTTAAAGATTCCCGAAGATCACAACAAAGACTCCTAAGGCTGGATTCACACTGCATTGCAGTGTCATTGGGCCCATAAAACTTTCTTTTTTCTTTACACACTAAAGTGCAACTCATGGAACGGTGAGCCAGCCTCATAGGAAAGAATGGGATTTCTACTTGGCGTGCATTTTAATGCAAAAAACTACATGAGTTTTGCTGCATGAAAATGGAGAAGCGTAACTAGGTCCTAAAGTTGGGTTCCAGTTAGTTTCTAACCGCTTACAGAACCTGCTGTTATTTTACATCAAAAGGCTAGTAGGCTGCCAAGATTCTACTTCAATATGGAGTAAAGGAGGAAGATTAATTTCTCCAATTTTGCTGTTGGAAATATGTGCATGAGCCTTGTGTTAAAAAACCAAAGAAATACACGGGGTTATTATGGTATTGGATGGAGCAACAAAGTGGCAGGGGAGTATGAAGAAGGTATCAACAGGCAGGGGTTCCTTTTTTTAAAAAAAAACAAAAAAGCAAAACAGAAAAAGACATGTCTTTGCTTATTCAGATTCTCAACTAATAATTGTCCTTTCTGGAATCAAATGGTGCCTTGATGAAGGCATAGTATTGTGCCAGAATGTTTGAACTACACTTGCTTTGGCTTCAGCAGCGCCTACCGCTTCAATGTGTGTGTGTGTGTGTGTGTGTTAATTTTCTATTTGTTTTAAAGGGGCCCAATAAAATCCCAGATCAGTAGAACACACAGTCCGTAGATCCCCAGCTCATTGGTACCCTTGTTCAGCAGATGCCCAGCTCATTGGTACCCTTGTTCAGCAGATGCCCAGCTCATTGGTACCCTTGTTCAGCAGATGCCCAGCTCATTGGTACCCTTGTTCAGCAGATGCCCAGCTCATTGGTACCCTTGTTCAGCAGATGCCCAGCTCATTGGTACCCTTGTTCAGCAGATGCCCAGCTCATTGGTACCCTTGTTCAGCAGATGCCCAGCTCATTGGTACCCTTGTTCAGCAGATGCCCAGCTCATTGGTACCCTTGTTCAGCAGATGCCCAGCTCATTGGTACCCTTGTTCAGCAGATGCCCAGCTCATTGGTACCCTTGTTCAGCAGATGCCCAGCTCATTGGTACCCTTGTTCAGCAGATGCCCAGCTCATTGGTACCCTTGTTCAGCAGATGCCCAGCTCATTGGTACCCTTGTTCAGCAGATGCCCAGCTCATTGGTACCCTTGTTCAGCAGATGCCCAGCTCATTGGTACCCTTGTTCAGCAGATGCCCAGCTCATTGGTACCCTTGTTCAGCAGATGCCCAGCTCATTGGTACCCTTGTTCAGCAGATCGCCCAGCTCAGTAGTAACCTCAAATTCTGTTGATCCCCCACTCAGTAATAACCCCCAGCTCTGCTGGTCATCTGGTTTGCTGTTCCGCCTCTCTCTCCCTGCTCATCTCCCACTATATTGCCCTCACACTGTGCAGCACGTGTGACATTGCTAGTTTCTTCTGCTTCGGTCCCCCAGCTGTGCTGTTACTCTGCCACTCAGTCCTCTATTTCCGGTCCTCGCTCACCTTCTGCATTCCCATGTTGCACACCATGTGTGCCGCCTTGTCCGGAACCCGCTCACCTTCTGCTGCTGCACGCCAGATGCGACGTCTGCACCAGACACTCCTAGAATATATACACATGAACCGGAAATGACTGCTGATATCTTTCTGAGAGCCAGCTATTGTCATACAATATCAGAAACACTCTAAAATCTCATGGAAAGCCTTCCCAGAAGAATGGAGACTGGTATAGCCACAAAGTGGCAGCATGCCTATGATTTGGAATAAGATGTTTAAAAAGCTCATCTAGGTATTATGGTCAGGTGTCCACAAACCTTTAACTATATAGTGTATGAGCTAGAAATATACGTTAAATTACTTCTGAAAGCATACCTTATCCAGCGAAAAGGTGGACAGAATACACAGAATAGCCTTTATATAATGTATATAAATATTGCATTTCCAATTTATTTGCCTCCGTAGTACACATATTTTGAAAATAAAACTCCAGCAGTGGCTCTATTAGCATTAAATCTTGATGGAAAGGTTCACTTTTTGGTTTAACAGTGCTTCCTGGGTGCTCATGCCTGTAATACCTCCAAAACAAAGTGAAGCTAAACCTGAATAAAAGCCTCTCAAAAGCTGCAGGTGTTGCATGCAAACTTTGTCAGAGAATTCTATGGAGCCTTCAGAGACTCTGAAGCACCATGAAAGTGGCATGGGGTATCATTTTTGAAGCAAAGCAATAGCAACATATAAACAACTGGCATTCCGAGCACTTTAAAAAAGTGTGCCCGAAGCCACATTTTGAAGCGCGTGTAAACAAGCCCATGATAACCTTTAGTAGCTTCAGGAGCTTGTTGTATTCGTAGTTTTGACTTTATTAATTTTTAAACTTCTTTTTCTGTACTATTGAACAGGTTAAAAAGCAAATATTGGAAGAGAAAATCTATTGCCCTCCAGAAGCATCTGTACTGTTAGCATCATATGCAGTGCAAGCAAAGGTGGGTTTTTCTCCTTTTTTGTCAGACTCTCAAAAATACAGTATAATTGTCATTTTGTTTCTTTAGTCAGTAAGCATGGCTCCAATTACAAAAGGTTACCCCTTTTGGCATAATTAAATCCTTATTTACAGACCTCAAATGAATGCTTACCCAGAGCTTACAGGCACAGCCATGGCATGGGTTGCTTAATTTGTTGCAGGATTTTTTTTCCTGCTGCCACATGCATATTTTGGCTATAATAATATACAGAAGCCTGTTCAGAGCGCTAGGACTATTTCATCAACCAATGGGAAACTAGCCTAAAGATAAATGTGCAGAGCCTGGCATCCAATTCTCAGATGCGTTTGTGAAATAGGAATTTTAAACTATGGATGTTCATTACACCATGCGTGCGCGCGCGCGCTCTCTCTCTCTCTCTCTCTCTCTCTCTCTCTCTACATTTAAAAGAGAAGTATGGGTATTTACTTATTTTGCTTAATCTTAAAGTGGTTCTAAGGGCAGTTTTTTTTTGTTTACCTTAATGCATCCCTCAGCCCCCCTTATGCTTGCCTGAACCCCATCTTTATCCGGTGTTGCGCATGAGAGCTGCAGCTTGCCTGGGTCTCTCTCTCCACATTGGCTCACACAGCAGTGGGAGCCATTGGCTCCTGCTGCTGTCAGTCACAGCCAGTGAATCAATGAGGAGAGAGCAGGGAGTGGTGCCTAGCTATGCTCTGTGTGTGAATGAATGGACAATGTCCATTCACTGGAGAGTGGCTCAGGAGTGAGCCAGCTCAAGTGCCCCCATAGCAAGACACTTGCTATTACGGCAGGAGGGAGGAGCCAAGACAGCCACAGGGGACTCAATTAAAGAGGATTGGGGTTGCACTGTGCAAAACCATTGCACAGAGCAGGTAAGTACACCAGTTTTTTTTTTTTTTTTTTTTTTAATAATTACAACCTTTAGAATCCCTTTAATCCCTATGAGTTGCTAATAAGTACAAATTTTTCCTGCCTTCCTAAGAAGTGAACTCTCAGTTAAAATAGAGTTAAGTACCTGTGGGAGTGGCTACAGTCTTCTCTAGATTCTCAAGCCGACAGTCTTGTCGAGATCCACCATCCTACCTTCTCTTGTGTTTGTTATTGGCTGAAGGCTGTCTGCTTGCTCCCGAGAGTTCACGCAGCACACATAGCTGCTCCCCCCCCTTCCTCCTTCCTCCCCTCCAGGGAGAACAATCTCATCACATACTTAAGCCTTCAGTAAAGCAGCAGCACAGCAATGTATTGAACACAGGTATGCTCTCTATACTAAGCACTGTGTTCATTTACAAAGCAGACACAGTAAACCAGGGGTTGATGTTTACAATGTCTTCCCTTCTGATGAACACTGTGGCATGGAGGCATACCTGTGAGTTCATCTAGGGCAGGGGTGTCAAACTGGCGGCCCTCCAGCTGTTGAAAAACTACAAGTCCCATAATGCCTTTTGCCTTTGGGAGTCATGCTTGTAACTGTCAATCTTGGGACTTGTAGTTTGGCAACAGCTGGAGGGCCGGCAGTTTGATACCCGTGATCTAGGGGATCGCTGAGCACGAGAAGTGTTCACTGGCACTCCCCCTCCTCCCCACTCACCATCCTGACAACCGGATCACCCCTTTTCCTCAGCAGCCGCTAGTGGAGAAGCTGACACAGGCTTTTAAAGCTGCTCAGCAACGGTAAGGGGGGGGAGGGAATAGGAGGACACGGGAGATCAAAGCCCACAGGGGAGATTATGAAGACTTGCAGAAGGGAGAGGATATACGTAAAGTGCAGCCCAGAACACAAGACCAGCAGAGCTGCTGGAAGCGAGAATACTACTCAGCATTTTATGTGCCTCTACTTCCGGGTTTTTGCATGGTGACATATTGACATGTAAAACAGAGGCACGTGAAAAGTGTGCCCGCTCTAGCTAGCGGCTCTGGTGTGCGCCTGTTCACCTAGCTCAGCCACATTTCCAAGAGAGGGAAGGACTGAAAGAGGGGGTGGATTGCTGGAGTTGTATCCACCCCCCTCTTTCAAACAGAGGACTGTTACTGGCTCCTTCCTGACACGTTAAGTGCCCTTTAAGGACTGAAGAAAGAAATAAAGGTCATGGAAGCATGAGGGTAAAGTGCTACTTCTTTTTGATTTCCCATACTTCTCCTTTAATTCAGCAACTCTTTCAATTGGGAGAACATAAGATGGATATTAAAACTACACATCCATGTGCCACTTCAAAGTTTTTCACACATTCCTCCTCATTATTGATAGTCATGTAGGGAATTCTTTGTGTAAAATAAAATTTGTGTTTTGGAGCACGTTGGACTAATGTAGAAATCCGTTTTTAATTTCATTTTCTTGGTTGATTAATCAACAGTAGAACATTTGCATATCGGTGCCATCTCTTCAGATTACTTATTTTCTAGTAGAATACTGTGCTGCTGCCTGGACGATGAAGATAATTATCCAAAATGACTGTGCCCATTGTGAATTTAATATTACATCAAATGTTAATCTGGACTGACATACTCAGCAGAAAGAGATTACTTGATCTAATTACTGAACTACTTTGTGTCCCAGTGCTCTTTTCTTGTTATCCGTTTCCTTTTTATTATTTTGAAAATGAGTTGGGCAGTTAATTTTTTTGTTAGTATTACACCATGCCCATTGTGTGATAGCATTCCTGTTCCGTTTACCCAGTAGAATTCAGGGGGACTTTTATCTTGTTCTTAATCAAATATATCAGATTCTGCTTGGTTCATTGATATGAAATCTGCTTGGCTCAGTGGTATAAAACCTGGGTTGGACATTGCTATATTTAATCGTATTGACAATTGTCAGATCATGCAGAGCATTGCATTAAGATTACGTTGCTTTTAACTGTCAATTTTCTTGATAGAACAACTGACCCTGATTTAAGGCAAAACTCTCTTATACAGTTCTGTTATAAATTCTCATTGTATGTAGTGTGTGGAATACCGTTAGGCGTGACATATTAATGATAAATGGTGAGAGACTGGTGTCATTCTACAGATGCTCAGTAACTTCAGATGTGCTACAGTACAGGTATAAATGGAGACTAAAGACATGCATCAGAGACTGGCAACATAGGAGTGCAAGAAAATCAAGCTCTAATGATCAGGGCCCTCTGTAACCTCCTGTATTAATTTGTATTGTAATTGTACTGTCTGCCCTAATGTTGTAAAGCGCTGTGTAAACTGTTTGCGCTATATAAATCCTGTATAATAATAATAATCACTATCAAGAGACTGAAGGTAGTAGGAACCAGTTTATTGAATATTTTTCTTCACTGTCCCCACGTAAACACCTGGGTAGGAAAAACGACTAATGGCTGCTGGGGTCTAAAAGCCTCTAGTAGGACACCAGAGGTTTTAAATGGTTGCTGTTTAAAATGGGCTTCCTGTAAGTTGCAAAGCTGGGGTCAGCACACTCTATTGGGGGCTCTGTTGCTCAAGTTTGTCAGTCTAACATTAACATACTTACAAGATGAAGAAGCACAGCTATGACCTCACCAAAATGCTGCTTCGCCTTCAGATGGTTGTGGGAGGAGGGGTGATTATAAAAGCATAGCTTCAGCAGCTATAACTTTTGTTTTTAGTTGTACTTAAAAGAGAAGTATTGATAAAGCTTTTTTGCCTATACTTCTCTTTTAGATCACGGGACTTATTTTTGCACTCCTGTGACCCAAATAAAGCTAGCAGTGGGCTAAAGCCTGCTGTCGGCTGATGTCACAGAGTGGGTCCATTCTTTGGAAGGATCCCACCTTTTAGGGTCGGCATCTACCCAGATGACTGACTGCTGGCTCAGCCTCTCGGCACGTCACTGGGAGCCTGAGCCTACCGCTCCCATTCCCTCGACAGCCCGGCGCTGCAGTGAGTGATCAGCAGTTGCGTAATCGCTCAGTCTTAGAGCCAGCGGGGGATAGTTGCAGCATCGCAATGATGCTGCAGCCAAATAGGTGAGTTATGTTTTTGTGTGTGTGTTTGTTTTATTTTGACCCCACACTTCTCCTTTTTATTGAGCACATTTTACCGAAACCAGTAGTTTTAAAAAGAAATTGAAAAACTCTGTATTAAAAAAAAATGCACAAACTTATTTTCCTAAAAATTCAATGGGATGATTTTTTTATTTAACATTTATTGTCTCTCTCTTTCTCAGTATGGAGATTATGATGCGTCTGTACACAAACGTGGGTTCTTAGCAGAAGAGGAGCTACTTCCTAAGAGGGTGAGTTTTTAGTTTACATCTTGTATATATGAGTTAAAGATCAAGAACGTCTTTTTTTTGAACAGTATTACCTTCATAATAAGTCCACTGTTTTGGCAGTTGCTGGGCCTGTTTACTTTTATTGCAGCCAGTCTGATTCAAACGATCTGTCATTGTCTATATTACCGATGCTGTACTGATTATCCATTTGTTTGTTCTTTATTTGTAAATAATTGTAAATCATTTTGGTTTTTTTCCTCTTCTATGTATTAAACCTAATAAAAATGTATTGAACAAAAAAATAACATCACCATTGTAATATTACAAAGTAGTTCTTTTTGACAATCCAATATAAACCTTCTTGAAAATCCTTGCATGTTGTTAGTGCTGTCTGTCGGCAAAATCTTTCCACAACTTCCTGGATTGCTTCTCGGCTGCTTCATGTGGTTTACTTTTAATTTCTAAGGACTAGATATTAGATCTAGTTATATATTCTAGTTATATATCTAGTTATATATATTAGATTTCTGCCTGCAAGTAGTAATGTCACATGTGAGACTTTTCTTGTACTTACTGTGAGACTCTTCTTTGTCAGCTCTGGGCACACAGCAGTGCCTAGGCACAGGGCATTGTTGAATTAAAGGAAGTAAATGTGTAGGATATTCAAAAATAAATTGACAGACTTTGAGATCATTCAATTTATTAGGAATAGGCAGGGCTGGTGCTTCCACTAGGCAACTGCCTAGAGCATACTACCACCTAGGGGCGCCTGGGCACAGCACAGGCTGGCACTCTCTCTGTGTGGCCTTTGGACCTCTTGTATGAATTCTTCATTTGTCTGTAGAGTCCCCCTCTCCATGGACACAGGGAATGATGATATCTTTATTCTGCACAATTGGTCACACACATGACCGTTTAGTGTGTGACACACACACACACACACACACACTCTACAGTATTCCATGTAGCAGTGAAGTATTTTCTCCCCATAGGATGGAAGTCATGACATTAGCCTAGGACCTCAGAGGATCAGTCCATACATCTCCGGTGCACTCACTGGCACACACAATAATCCAGCTGTCCCAGGGAACTGGCTAATGACAGAATGGGACAAGTCCAGTGTTGGCTCCGCCTTCTTCTACACAGCTGGAGCCAATCAATAGGCGGAGATGTGCTCTGGTTGCAGGGTTACCCCTATGCGAGTAGGATGATCAGGGCCCGATGTGTATGAAAGGGAAGCAGTGTCGTGCTGGAAGGCTGCCTCTCTTAGAAGGATGGTGAGTCATGGAGGTAACCGGAGGGGGGGTGAACAATGGCTGGGTTAGGGGAGTGGATGCTGGTTAATCGTGTGGGACACCTCCACGTCATGAGTGATCCTTCAGCTGAGGGGAAAGTTGGCAGAGGGGGAGGAAGAAAGGACAGAGGAAGATGCTGGGTGTCTGGGGCCAGTGTAGCAGCTGAGCTGCTGGTCTTTCCAGTGTTCTTCTCAAACTCAGTCCCTTGCTGCTAGCCGGCTGGCAGCTGCTGATCACTGTGGAGTTTTGTAAGACTTTTTTTTTTTTTTTTTCCTCTGGTTAATACAGTTTATATTTGGTAAATACGCAGTGCTCAGCATAGATGAGTACACCCCAACATATTTGTCAGAAAACCTTTACTTTTCTTTCAGAATCATCATTTTCTGTGGGACCCTACACAATGCTCTCCCAAATGTGGGCCATTGCAAAAAGATTTGTTCATTTGCACACACAAAAATTATTTTCTTAACAAATTCATTCAAAACCATGTTGAAAAAGTTAACACACCCCAATGAATGTCTTAGGAGCAAAGCTAAATTTTAAACAACAAAATTCTAATTAACAGGAATTCAACTACAGGTGAGTCTAATTATTCATTAAACAGGTGTCCAGCAGACAGTTTATTATAAAAAGGTGTTACTTAACTAAGAAAACCCTTTACCCTTTTAAGCTTTACTTGTCGGAATACTGTAGCAAAAGTGATACAAAAATTTAACAAATCTGGAACTGCAACCATCTCACAGAGATGTCCAGACTGTCCACGAACGTTAACAACTGGATAGGAGCGTCTTCTGATGAGAAGGGTTGAAGAAAATCACCATGCAAGTTCACTGCAATTAGCTAAAGAAGTAGAAAGCCACACTGGGGTGATTGTTTTTTTTTTTTTTTTTTCCCTGTTACACAATACGGCCTACAGAGGAATGGCGTGTCGTCCATGAAGGAAGCCATGCACAAATAAGCCCGCCTTGGATTTGCCAGGGCCCATACTGAAAAAAAGACTACTGGGACTCTGTACTCAGGAGTGATGAGACCAAGATAAATGTTTTTGGAACTGATGGCTTCAAAACTGTATGGTGTTGCAAAGGTGAGGAGTACAAAAATTGCATGGTGCTTGCAGTGAAACATGGTAGTGGCAGTGTTCTTCTGTGGGACAGCATGAGTGCTGCTTGTGTTGGGGAGCTGCATTTCATTGATTGTATCATGAATTCACAGATGTACTGCTCTATATTGAAAAGAAGATGCTACCATCACTCCGTGCCTTTGGTCGTTGTGCACTTTTCCAACATGATAATGATCCAAAACACACATCTAAGACCACTGTTGCATTTCTGAAGAACAGGGTAAAAGTTATTCAGTGGCCAAGTATGTCTCCTGATCTGAACCCAATCGAACACCTATGGGGAATTCTGAAGAGACAAGTTGAGAATTGCTCTCCATCCAGCATCCAGGCTCTAAAAGCGGTCGCTCTTGAAGAATGGAAAAAGATAGATGTAGCAGTATGTTGCCAACTTGTTCATTCCATGCCAAAAGACTTTGCTGTCCTTACAAATCATGCAGCTCATACAAAATATTAGATGTAGTAGTTTTTGTTGTAGGGTGTATTCATTTTTATATTACCTAATTTGAGTAACACAGAAGATTTTGTAATCCTAAGTTAAATGTAATGAGCTAAACAAACACCATTTTGTCAACATTTTGTAAATTGTTCTTGTGTTCATTGAGATATTGATTAAACTCTTACTTTTCAAAAGGGGTGTACTTATTTATGTTGAGCACTGTATATTTTGTCTTTTAATATTGGTGCTGGTGACATCTTATGACACCTATATTTGCAAATTAAAAGAAATTTAGATGTTTCATGTTTTTGTTAATTTAATATTCTCTACTGTTTTGATTTGTTTTTTTTTTTTTAAATTTGTATTTATTTATTTTTTTTTATTTTTGTGTGTGGGGGGGGGGGGGGGGTGCAAGTAGCTGGTCTTGCTAGGCCACAAGATGGTCTAGTCTAGCACTGGTCCTGGGAGTGGTCTAGAGCTTACGGAAATCTGATGTTGAAATTAATTTATTTTACATTTTGACCTTGGATATCCTGTAAATATTTGGACTTGATTGTTGTGAAGCAGCATGGGGCAAGACTGTTGTGCTTTTTTAGATGTTTTGAGAACCCCCCCCAATGTTAATTTTGTCTCTGAACATAATATTCTCAGAAGATAATTTTAGTTTCTTTAACTCTCCTAGTGATTTATTATTATACAGGATCTATATAGCGCCAACAGTTTGCTCAGTGCTTTACAAAATAACGGGAGACAATACAGCAACAATACAGTTCAATACAAGAGGGAAAGGAGGCCCTGCTCCTTGGAGCTTACAATCTAGGAGTATTATTATACAGGATTTATATAGCACCAACAGTTTGCTCAGCACTTTACAATATAAAGGGAGACAATACAGCAACAATACAGTTCAATACAAGAGGGATAGGAGGGCCCTGCTCCTTGGAGCTTACAATCTAGGAGTATTATTATACAGGATTTATATAGCACCAACAGTTTGCTCAGCACTTTACAATATAAAGGGAGACAATACAGCAACAATACAGTTCAATACAAGAGGGTTAGGAGGGCCCTGCTCCTTGGAGCTTACAATCTAGGAGTATTATTATACAGGATTTATATAGCACCAACAGTTTGCTCAGCACTTTACAATATAAAGGGAGACAATACAGCAACAATACAGTTCAATACAAGAGGGAAAGGAGGCCCTGCTCCTTGGAGCTTACAATCTAGGAGATCTAACTTCTTTGTTAGGGAGACATTGCCAGTTTTCCTATTCAGTGTTATTTTCTAATACAACTCACTCTTTTCCATAGAAGAAAGCCACCAACTGGCAATTTAGCTCCTGTATGGGAAATTTGTAGCTTTGAATGTTATTAGTAGCTCTCTCAACGCATATATATTTATTTTTTGGAATGAACTGATCCTTTTGATCTATATTTTTAATTGAGGGCCTTTCATCTATAATTGATATGTGATATGAGCAATGTAACTAATACAGTTTCTGGTCCCTTTTTTCTTTTTCATCCTTCCAGAAACCATAGAGTACAAGGGGACAGTAAGGCTTCGTTCACACCATAAATGCAGAAACACTGATGGAAACTGATGCGCAGATTTCAATTACAGAGACATCAGTGTACATTAATTTTTTAATTTATTTATTACAAGTACTTGTATTTCACCATAACTTACCAGCATGTCTTTGGAGCGTGGGAGGAAACTGGAGTACCCAGAAGAAACCCACACAGGCACAGAGAGAACATGCAAACTCCAGGCAGACAGTGCTGGGATTCGATCCAATGACCCTAGTGCTGCCAGGTGGAAGTACAAACCATTTAGCCACTGTGCTTTCATGCGCGCTTCAGTGAGTTGTATACACATTGCAGATTCCTGTGCAGAATAAATTTGCACGTGATGCTAGTGTTGTGGTGTGAACAGGGCACATACACTCACCAGCTAGTTTATTAGATACACCTCGCTAGTGTCAAGAAAGTATCCCCCACACCATTACACCACCACCAGCCTGAACCATTGATACAAGGCAGGATGGAGCCATGCTTTCATGTTGTTTATGCTAAATTCTGACCCTACCACCTGAATGTCACAGCAACCAGTCTGCCCATTCTCCTCTTATCTCTGACATCTAAAAAACACTTTTGTCCACACAACTGCTGCTCACTGGATTTTTTTTTTTTTTTCAAACCATTCTCTGTAAACCCTAAAGATGGTTATGTGTGAAAATCCCAGTAGATACAGTTTTTGGAATATTCAGACCAACCTGTCTGGCACCAATAGCCATGTTCAAAGTCACTTAAACCCCTTTTGTTCCCCATTCTGATGCTCAGTTTGAACTTCAGCAAGTCATCTTCACCACATCTAGATGCCTAAATGCATTTAGTTGCTGCCATGTGATTTGGTTGATTAGCTATTTGTGTTACCAAGCATTTAAACAGGTGTACCTAATGGTGAGTGTAGAGAACAATTGATTTTGTTGTGCCCTTGCAGAACGCATGCAGACAAAATGACGTCTTTGCACCATGATGTGAACGAGCTCTTAAGTGCTTACCTAGTCCAAGCTTCAGATGGCCTCATTGGAGTTATTAGAGTGCTGTAAGCAGATCCAGGGTTTGCAAGTTGCATTTCACTGCTTAAGTCCTTTTTTTCCCTACCTGTTTCAGGTAATTAACCTGTATCAGATGACTCCAGAAATGTGGGAGGAGAGGATCACTGCCTGGTATGCAGAGCATCGTGGACGGACCAGGTAAGAAAGCAACTTGGTTTCAGTACTTTTGTAGATTTTGCTCTAATGGGATTGCGTAGAAAATGGGAATACTTGCACATGGACATCTTCTAATTCTCTATTTTAAACCACTAATAATTTTTGCTTTCTGATTGTACTAAGCAAATTTCGGTGTAAAGCAGGTAATCTCTTATCTGCCCATTTTGTTTACTTTAAACTTTGCATTGTTTTCTTTCCTGTTTTAAAAGTATGATACTGTAGTCTTTTATTGGTAGTCTTTTCACATGAATGGTACTAGGGATGCACTGAAATTTTGTCCAAAAATAACTCTATCAGCCTTTGGCCGATATGAAAATAGGCACCGATACAGGTGCCGAAAATGGCCCCTCCCCCACTGCCTCTCACCCGCCACCCAGTGGTTCCCAGCCTTACCTGAGAACCCATCCAACTATCCCGGCGCTAGGCATAAAGATCAGTGAAGGAAAGATGGCCTCAACTCATCTTTATGCCTTTGGAGGACCAGAGCGACGTCATTAAGTCACTTCCGGTTTCGGCACCATGTAAACAAGGACACTTTGATTTAATCCTTTACATTCTAGAGGAGAGATGTGGGGTCTCATTGACCCCAGATCTCTCCATAAAGAGGACGTCTCACTGCTTGCTTCTGTCACAAGGGAGATTTGCATTCCTTGTGATAAAAAAAATGTTAAAGGGACAGTGAAAAAAAGTAATAGAAAAAAATGTTTAAAGTGCCCCTGTCCCCCCCCCCCCCCCCCCCCCCATGCCCCCACTCAGTGGTGAACGCATATGTAGGCCACGCCCACATATGTAAATGGTATTCAAACCAGACAACATTTGCCACGAACGTCAGAGCAAGAGCAATAATTCTAGCACTAGACTTCCTCTGTAACTTCAAACTGGTAACCTGTAGAGATGTTTAAAACTTCACCCATGGAGATTTTTAAGTACTGTAGTTTAGCGCCATTCCACAAGCATGCGTAATTTTAAAACATGACATGTTGAGTATCTATTTACTCAGTGTAACATCATCTTTAATATTAAAAAAAATTAGGTTATATATTTTTATTTTGCTTTTTAAATTCATTAGTGTATTTTTTTTCAAAAATAATTGCGTTTGAAAAATATAAACATTTTTAAAAACTATCAATCTTGGTTTTCGGCCAAGTGCATCCTGAATTTTTGGTTTCGGCACCAGAATTTTCTTTTCGGTGCACCACTAAATAGTACCAATCTAAAACAAATTGAGCCCTTGATGGAACTGGTTAGATCTTCCATCATTCTAATGTCCAATTCAATTCAGCCATTGTTCTATTCTTGGAGTACAAGACTTCCAGCTTGCTGGTATACAAGAGCATGCCCCATTAACTATGTGAATAATAACTGACTTTTTGTAGAGTTTTAGGGGGACTGCATTTTGGTAAATGAGGAAATACGCAGGATATTCAGGAATAGTGTTATGTGAAGTTGTGAACAATCTGCTGTACTTGAGTCTAAAAGGACTAAAATGGGGGATACAACCAAAAGATATAAAATAAACCAACTGTCCCAGTCTCACAGCACAAGCACGAGTCGGGTACTGAGGAGTAAAAAGAGTGTAAGAGTGAAGAGGGTAAAATACCACCTTGTCACCAGCTTGTAGCCCGATTCTTGGCACTTGTTACTAATTAATGATGTGTATGCGAGCATGAGATTTTGGATCCATCTTCAGGGAATAGTTTGTAGCTCCCTTTCTCGGTGGTCCAGGAGTTGTAGCAGAGATTGGGAGCCTTCTGTAAATAGCATTTTGTATAACTTAGTGCATGCCACATCGGTCCCTCTCTGTGATACTCCCTCTGAAATTGGGTCAGGTAGTATTGAAATGTCTCATTGCCTTGAAAGTATTCTGAGGCAATGAGACAGTTGTAGGATCCTCAAAGGTCCCAGTAACATAAAATCTGGATGGTATTGTCAGCCAGTTTGCACTGAAAATGTAATATGGTGTGATCACCAGCGGATCACCAATCCACGGAAAGAGCCGAAGATGTCGGCTCAGTCATGTGATCAGCTGTTATCGGCATTTCTCTCCTCTCGAGCTGTCACGCTGACAGAGGAGAGCCGGTAATCAGCATTCCGCAGAGGGGACATGTACACTGATCATCAGAGCACTGATGATCAGTGTGCCCTGATGATCATTGTAGCCCCAGCAGTGCCACCTGTCAGTGTCCATCAGTGCCAACTATCAGTGCCACATCAATGCCACATATCCGTGCCTACCAGTGCACATCCATGCCACATATCAGTGCCCATCTGAGCTGCCTTTCAGTGTCACCCATCAGTCCCAGTCATTGCCACCTATCAGTGCCATATATATTAGTGCTGCCTTTCAGTGCCACCTATCAGTGCCACCTATCAGTGCCCATCAGTGTAGCCTATCAGTGCCCATCACTGCAGCCTCATTAGCGCACGTCAGTGAAGGAGAAAATCACTTATTTACACAATTTTATAACAAAAATTAAGAAAAAACGTTTTGTGTTTTTTTTTTTTTTTTCAAAATTTTCAGTGGTTTTTGGTTTGTTTTGCAAAAAATAAAAAACCCAGAGTTGATTAAATATCACCAAAATAAAGCTCTGTCACAAAAAAATTATAAAAATTTCATATGGGTACAGTTGCATGACCGTGCAATTGTCATTCAAAGTGCAACAGCGCTGAAAGCTGGAAATTGGCCTGGGCAGGAAGGGGGTAAAAGTGCCCTGTGGGCAAGTGGTTAAGAACATCCTGGTGCACATCACCTAAGATTTATTCTTTTTGGTTTTCAGAGATGAAGCTGAGATGGAATACCTGAAAATAGCACAAGACCTAGAGATGTATGGAGTAAATTACTTCCTTATAAGGGTGAGAATTGAATGGTTCTTGTCATGAATTTATGGCTACTTCTGAAGCCATCTGTATCAAAACATATTTCCTACAATGTATGGGTGTGATTAAACAGCAACAATAAGAATACAAACTGCAGATGTTGCTCATAAAATATTGTTCACAACATTGTCACCTGCCCATTCAAGGCAAAGTGACAATGTCCTCTGATGTCCCCTCCCTCAAAACAAGAAGAGTCATTGATCCACACTCCCTTACCATCTTTCAACACAAGAGCCCATCCTGGGCAAGCCATGAGGTTGTAACTTGCTCAGGCTGCATGACCTCCCTGCTTCCCCACCTCCCCACTTGGCAGTGTTCAGCAACTAGCCACTCAGGCCTGACCATTATTGCATTGAGAGTGCACATGCTACCACATACCAGGTACCTCCATTCAGTTAGAGCAGTGGAGCACAAGATCTTGATGGGAAAGCAGTAAAGGTTGTAGCAGAGTGTCTCAGAGGGATTCTGGAAAGTCCTCTTTGGGGTTTATACATCTCCCAGGCTTCTCTCATATACACTTTTATAGTCCTCATATTCCTTGTCCACTTCGAGTTTTGCACCGCTCCGTTTTGGCAATTTAGGACCACTTTAACCTCCGAATCAGTGCTCGAGAGCCTGGGGAACAGGCTGGTTATGTCTGTGAGAACTGAAGGTTGGTGGAAGCTATAAAACTGCATATGTGGAGACTGACAAGCATTAGGCTCTCGGTGTGCTAGTTAGGACTTTGATTTGTATAGTTGGTGCCAAGACACAGCTAGGATTCTGTTTTGAGGTTTTTGCTCTGGCTATTTTGTAGAACACTGTAGAGCACCTGTGAATAGCACCAATAAACACCTCACTATTTGTCATTTCATCAGTGAAGTGGTATCTGTGCCTGAAAGTGTGCTTATCCCAGGGAGCTTTGTACCTGCTGCCTATCCCCAGCTCACAGGGGGCATAGATCAATGAATATACCTTGCAGGAGGGATGGTATACTAGCAGTGTCACTTTTTTTTTTCTTGAATGGCCAAAGTGACAGGGACTCTTCAGTTATCGACTTATCTGGGAATCTACTTTACAGGGAAGTACCCATAAGTCATATTTATGGCACTCTCCTCATGGAAAAAAATAGACTCGAGTCCTCCTTGTGTGGCTAATTATTTTAGTCCAAGTTATAGATTGTCAGTAGGCTAAAATATGTTCTTTTTGAAATCTTAGAACAAAAAAGGCACAGAGTTACTTCTTGGAGTAGATGCCCTTGGACTGCATATTTATGATCCTGAAAACAGGCTTACCCCTAAAACTTCCTTCCCTTGGAATGAAATCCGGAATATCTCTTACAGTGACAAAGAGGTGAGAAGATCCAACTTTCTCTGCATCATATGAAGAGGTCATTTCTTTACCCCAGGCTTATCATAAAGTTATATATGTACATGTAGTGTGCTTACTGTACTGCCTGATTTCATTAAACTTAACTCTTCTGTGGTTATAGTTCACTATCAAGCCACTTGATAAGAAAATTGATGTCTTCAAGTTCAACTCCTCTAAACTCCGGGTCAACAAGCTGGTAGGTTGCCCATGAGAAATCTGCAATATTCTATTATGTCCGTGATAATTATGGTGTTTCCTGGTAATCTGTGAAGATGTACTGTATATCACCTGGGACTTCTGCATTTTATCAAATGCTGAATAGCTGATGAAGAATTAGATGAGTGTTAGATGTGAGTTTTGTTCTTTTATTACAAGCTGTTTTGAATTTATTTCTGATACAGGCTCATATGTTTAAGTAGAATTCTACTTAATAATGCACTTTTAGTCCAGTTATGTATCCATTAAAACAAAAAGGCACAAAAAAAACCAATGTCCTTGATGTACCATTTTTGAAAGGGGGTTATTGACCACCTGGAACATTTTTTAGACATTAGTTGCTTCTCCATCATTGCAGATATGGACACCAAGGTCACAGGTGAAGGTTCTTAGAATACACCATGTATGTATGTATGTGTGTGTGTGTGTGTGTGTGTGTGTGTGTGTGTGTGTGTGTGTATGTATATATATATATATATATATATATATATATATATATATATATATATATATATATATATATATATTTGAAAACCTAGCCATGTATAAAGGTATTGTTTCCTTTTTAGATTGATGGTCTGTAGGAAGAATGCAACCGTACAGTAGTGATCAGAATTGTCACCCTTACAGATAGTAAAAAAGTTATATGGTGTCATGTTGCTGGCTTTGCCTAGTGGCATTGGTTCTGGAAATATGCGACCGCCATCAAATTGAACTACAAGCAACCTCTTGAGGAATCCTGGTTGAGAATGGCTGGTACACCTGCTTTCCTTGTTTTCCATGAGGGTAGATTTAAAAAGGCTCTGAAAATCCACTTATACCCTGCATAATAGTATTTTAGAGGTGTGTACTATTTGCACCCCCTGAGCTTTTTTTTTTTTTTTTTTTTTTTTTTTTTTTTTTTTTTTTTTTTTTTTAAGCAAACCTTTGGCCACCAAGAAAACCTATAAACGGGCACTTGCCTGACTGGGCAGGCAGAAACCTGGGTTGTTCTATTATGGAACCATTAACCAGCTTCTGTGGTTGGCCTTGCTACCTCCTGCCTTTTGCCCTTTTCTGTTGTCCATCACTGTGATCTCTTTAGCCAGTAGTAAAGAGGAGGATGGGGCAAGGGCTATGTCACCAACCTCTGAATTCTTGTCGCTGGTTCTCTAGTGACGGCACCTCATATTTTTGGGCCCTGTGGACACTACAAAGGGAAAATAAAAACGATATTTCGGTACCTAGATGTGCTTTCACTTTTTAATAAGTTCCAGTTTAGTTCTTCATAAAAAGTTTCAAAGCTGGGGCGTGTCCAAGATGGCGACCGGAGCGGCCGCGTAATCCGGAGCTCCGGCGCCAGCAGTATTAATCTGCTGCCATCCGTGCAGCCACGGACTGTAGTGGGGCAGCGGAGGCTCCTGGCTGTGTCCCCGGGGTCTGGTGGTACGGCTCCGGGCGATATCTTCGCCCTCCGCAGCGGTCGGCGCCCGCGGCCTAGCGCGGCCGCATGATCCGCGGCTCTGGTACCTTGGCCCGCATCCGCTGTCACCCGGGCGACGGTGGATCATCCCCGGGCATTGGGGGCGCCCTCTGCATCCCCTGAGTCTCAGAAAAGGGGCACTGCTGCAAATTACCGCTACCCGAAGCGGCGGAGGTCTGCGGCCTACTCCACCTGATAAAGGCCTCCTCTCATCTGGACCACTGTGAGTACAAGGGGCTGGGAGGCTGACGGCTGCTGGTCACTGGATCCCCCCTCCAGTGATCTGGGGAACGGGGTTCCCATCTGTTACCCCCAAAGTCACCTTCGTCTGTGACCACAGCCCCTGTTGGGCCCAGAGGCCTTTTTTACTGCTTTCTGCTGTGTCGGGACCCCTTGGAACGGCCTTGAAGGTCCCTGGGACTGTCATAGAGGGTCCCTGATTCTGCAAGGCACGTGCCCTAGAGAGTGAGTCAGAACTATCACCTTGCTCCTGGGAGTTGGAGATGGTATCTACCTCGACCTATGTCCCTGCTGCGCCCTTGTAGTTTGTCATATATTTTTACAATATCCAGTTTCTGCGGATAACCCTGACAGCTTCAATGTAACTATACTCCTAAACCTGTTTCGGGCGTTATAGGTCCCCTGGGGTTATTACCTCTTTAAACTATCCAATCTCCAGTTGATCACCCCCAGGAGACTCCCTGTATGCCGTCCACTAAGAAAAAGAAGGGACAAGCTCAAAAGTCCCTCACAACATACCTACTTAAGACACACGAGATCTGCGGCATGGCTTCGGGTGACGCAGAACGAGCGTCCCCATCCGAACCCATGCAGGATATCGCAGCCCCTTCATTGAGTCTGGTCAGTGATTATACACAGCAACTCACAAAGGGTGACCTGGAGTCTGGCTTGGAAACCATGTACACCAAACTGGCCGCCAAATTCCAATCAGAATTACACAAAAGCACTAGTGTTCTCTCTCAGGAAATAGCCGCATTGGGCTCTAGAACCGATCGCTTGGAAACTAAACATGATGAACTTAGCCTAGCCTATGGGGACCTTTCCAGAGAACACGATCATCTACATACGGCCTTTTTACAACTGCAGGCACAGGTTGAAGACCTTGATAATCGTAACCGCAGAAACAATCTGCGAGTCAGGGGAATTCCGGAATCTGTATCTGATCTCTCACAAACCGTTACCAAGCTATTCAAATCACTCCTTCCGGATCGCAGCCCCGGGTCCTTCACCTGTGACCGCATCCATAGAGCCCTGCGCCCTAAACCCCCTAGTGATAAACCGCCTAGGGACATTGTTCTGTGTCTAAAGGATTTCCTGACCAAAGAAGACATACTCAGAGCGGCCCGCGATACCCCAACGATCTCCTTCGAAGGCTCGGTTTTACAAATCTTTCCAGACGTTTCTCCGGCTACGTTGGAGAAGCGCAGAAAAATGAAGGAGGTTACAACGGCTCTCTTTTCAGCTCGTATCCGTTATAAATGGGGCTTCCCTTTTAAGTTGTTAGTTCCACATAATGGGAGCACATATATTGCTACATCCCTTCCTGAAGGCAGAGAAATCCTGGCCAAGTTGGGCCTGGCGAGTGCCCCATCACTTCAGCGTCCACCCTCCACACCTCGTGTTTCTCCCATCTGGCACACTCCATCTCCACGGAGGGATAGGAGGAGAGCCCGTCAAGAGCTGGGCTGATGGGACCATGCCTTCCTGCCTCTTGTTCATTATATTGATGTTCCTGGTCTGTAGTTTCCCTTGATCGGGATAGGAAGCAACCCACAGAGAATTTTGTTCTTTAGCGTCCCCTACAGCTTGGGGATAGTATGTTTTTTGTGGACGCTGCTGTAATGTTCCTGTATTTCTGTGGACTATGTATGCTCTCTCGTTGATAACTGGATGTGTTTAGTTTAACAAGGGTCTTCGGGCCCTCTAAATGTCGCCCATTGATTCATGGTCTTAGGACTCTTGAACACGTTACCCCACCCTGCCTCCTGACATGGCCGGAGGAGTCACCGCCCGATTGTGGGGTGGCAGCTCCGTTTTCCATGTTTTATGGAGACAGGATATGGGCCCGATTGGCCCTTTGATGTTAGAATTTTTTGTTTTTTCAGGTATGGCTAATTGCCTGCTTGATCCATGTCTCTCAGTTACCTTTCTCATTGTAGAAACTATCACTGCTTCTCTTTTATTGTTTTTTGTCTTTTCTTTATTTAAAACTTTAGTGCATGATGTTTGGCGTGTCGCCGGTGTGTGGATGTCACGACCCCCGTTTTGGGGTCTGGATGTCCCCTAGACTGGTAATGCTGCCTGTAGGTCGGTCTGTTATGGACTTGCAGGTCCTTATATCTAGCCAAATAATTCGAGGAGATGTCTTTTCAGTGTGTATTTTTTTTACTGATAGCAATAATTTTTTTTGTATATCATGGTGATCCAATGTATCTCGCATAATGTCCAGGGTTTCAATTCGCCAAACAAGCGCAAAACGGCCTTTCTCCAATATAGGCGACTAGGGGCTAAAATTATCTTATTACAGGAAACACATTTTGCAGCCGCAAAAACACCCGACATATTTCCATAAATCCTATAGACAGGGATATTATACTTTACATTCCTCCAAGAGTAGAGGGGTGGCCATTTTTCTGCATAATTCAATCCCCTTTGAGGTTCAACATGTGTATCGTGATCCAGACAGTAGGTTTATTATCCTTAAGGGCACCCTTTCAGGCCGAGAACTTACAATAGCAAATGTTTATGCACCGAATTCGGCACAAGCTACTTTTTTTCTCAAAATTTTTTGACGTTCTGGATAGATTTTTGTCACCCCATCTGATGGTGGGTGGTGATTTCAACCTGGTAGCAAATCCACTTTTGGACCGTAGCTCACCCTCACATTCTTCCCAGGCTTTCCCAAGATCCCTTACTAAAAAACTAGATGCCCTCCAGTTGGTAGACACCTGGAGGGCGCACAATGTGGGAGCTAGGGACTACTCATTTTATTCTCACCCACATGACTCTTATGCCAGATTAGACTATATTTATTGCACCCCTATTTTATTAGCTAATTCTAGAACAGCTAGCATCCACTTGAGTCCTTGGTCGGATCACAATATCATAGCCTTGTCTATCACGTGTATGGGACTGGCACCTACTCCCTTCTCCTGGAGACTCAATGACTCTATGCTTACGGACGCTGACTCCCGCCATGAGGTGGCTGCATCTATTCTGGAATATTTCCAATCTAACTCGACTCCTGATATATCTCCAGCCACATTATGGGTAGCCCATAAGGCGGTCCTACGAGGCCGCCTTATCTCTATGGCTTCATCCAGAAATAGAAAACGATGGCAACAAATTCTGCTTCTTACCCGAGAGTTGGAAGCACATTATAGAAGTCATATTGCTAACCCATCTCTTCTTAACAAACAGTTATTATCTCAAAAACGCTTAGAATTGAATACTCTGCTATCCCAAAAAACTGAAAAAGCACTCCGCTGGTCGAAGGCCTCGTTTTTGTTACATAGTAACTCGGCCTCCACTATGTTTGCAAGGAAATTGAATCACTCCCTGCGCCCTCCACAAATTTATAAATTACGCACTAGTTCGGGTGCTATTTCATTTTTGCCTCAGGAGGTCCTGGGCATTTTTGAAAGCTTTTATTCTAACCTATTAGCTCCTCCACGATCTGACCCTGTTTCACCAGCCGACTCGTGGTTGGATTCTATACCCCTCCCTGCTCTTACACCTTCCCAAGTTGCTTCTCTTAATGCCCCTTGTACCCTGGAGGAAATAACTCGTGCAATTGGCGCCCTAAAAAGTTCTACTGCACCAGGTCCGGACGGATTCACTGCTAGTTATTACAAACATTTTGCCTCTACGCTGGCTCCCTATCTGATAACTTTTTATTTAATGATGATGTTTTGCAGGGGGGTAAGTTTCCTGAGGAGATGCTGTTGGCTAATATGTCTTTAATACCTAAACCGCAGAAAGACCATAGCTTACCACAAAACTTTAGACCTATCTCAGTAATGAATAATGATCTGAAAATATTTAGCCGAATATTGGCAGACAGGTTGGCCCCTATCATCTCCTCTTTAGTCTCTCCGGACCAATCGGGCTTTATTCCTGACAGATTTATCACCGATAATATTCGCCTCACGCTCAATGTTATTCAAGATGCCAATTTACACTCTAAAGAGGTCTTGCTGATGAGTCTAGATATAAACAAGGCCTTTGACAGTGTTCTCTGGCCCTATTTATTTTCATTGCTACGTAAAATGGGCTTTAATGACGAGTTTTTAGCTGGTATACATGCCCTATATGACTCTCCAAAGACAAGAATTAGGCTCCCTGGTTGCAATTCGGACTTTTTTACATTGTGTAGAGGTACCCGTCAGGGCTGTCCTCTTTCACCCCTTTTATTCGCGCTGGTGTTGGAACCTTTGGCAATAGCGATCAGATCACATTCGGATATTTCAGGTTACCCATTGTTAGTCTCACATTTTAAAATAAGCATGTATGCTGATGATGTTATGCTTTTTCTTACTAACCCATTGACTTCACTGCCTAATTTATGTGTCATACTGAATGATTTTGCTATAATATCAGGTCTAACTGTTAATTTTACCAAATCGGTGGTTATGCCGGTTAATATTCCTGATTCCCTAAGTGCATCTCTCCGCAGTTCTTTTCCGTTCCGCTGGTCCACAGACCGGATATCCTATTTGGGTATTAATCTCACTCCCAGGTACTTAGATATGTTTGCTGCTAATTATCCACCGTGTATATCACGTCTCTCTACTCTACTGAAGATTTGGCATGGTTATCCTATTTCCTTTTTGGGTAGAGTCACGGCTGTTAAAATGAATATTTTGCCTAAACTTCTTTATCTTTTTAGAGCACTTCCAATCCCGGTCTCAAAAACATTTTTGAACCATTTTCAGCGGGCCATTAATAATTTTATCTGGGGCAATAAGCGCCCATGTTTTGCCTCAGCTTTTTGTACTGCTCACAACGGACTGGAGGCCTCGGTCTCCCCAATTTTTGGCTATATTACCTTTCGGCTCGTTTTGCGCAGCTATCTCAATGGGCAACAATTAACTCTCAGATCCCATGGGTCAAGTTTGAATCTCAGTCTATACGCCCATTCTATTTACCGGGTATTTTGTGGTCCAAAGTCCCTCCACGATCGTTTACTTTTTATAACTCCATAGTGACTCATTCCATGATACTTTGGTCCACATACAAATTTAAGTTGAATTTGGTCTCTCCTGTTCCCCCCGGTGCTTCATTTTTTGGTGATCCTACTTTTGCACCAGCTTTTTCTTCTCCTCAACTGTTTCGTTGGTGGTATGATCTATCTTTTATCAGATTATCTGATTTTCAAAGAGGAGGATCCTATATTACTTTGATATGCTGCGCACGCTTTTTGATGTTCCCCTTCGTGAATACCTTCGTTACCGACAGATTAGACACTTTTTTGATTCACATTTTGGCCTTATACCATCTTCTCCGGTTTCCTTTTTTGAACGTACCAGCCGTGACTGCCCTAGGGGAAGGGGCCTTATTTCTAACTTTTATCACCAATCTTTGCTTTGTCTTTTTCATACGCCTCCTTTATACCGACAACGGTGGGAGGAGGATAGTGGCACCACTTTTTCGGATGAGGATTGGGATTCCATGGTGGATAATATATGTAAAAGTTCTCGATCTCTTTCTGTTCGTGAGACAGCCCTTAAAGTTTTTAACTAGATGGTATTATACCCCATCGAGACTACATAGATTGTTCCCACAAACGTCCCCTCTATGTTTTCGGGGCTGTGGCCTTACAGGCACTTTGGTGCATATATTTTGGGACTGCCCGTCCATTTCATTGATTTGGTACAGGATATCCGAGGTGGCTACCTCACTGGCGGGTACCCCAGTACGCTTTTCTATACAGACCTGTCTATTGGGGGCTCACATCCCAGGGGTCCCAGATGCCATTATGAGATTGATACATACTATGTGTATTGCCACTTTATGGTCTATTGCCTTACATTGGAGGTCCAATGCTGTGCCTTTGGCCTCCATTTTACACAGAATTGATGCAGTAATGCTCATGGAACGCATTCATTATACTCTGCTGGATAAGATGCACTTATTTGATAAAAAATGGGAATCATGGAGGGATTATAGACATTTTATTGCATGATTAACAATGTTTCCAGTGAACAGCTACTGACAAATGCAGTTGACGGATGTCTCATTCAACCTATCTCATCACTAACGTATCTCATGTACTTGCAATCTACTTTTTTTCTGTTTCTTCTCTTTCTTACTACAATAGACTTTTCTGAATTGTACTTTTTATAAGTGCCTTGTTTTTTCTATCCATATAATCTGAAAAATGTGTTATTTTATTGTCTACCTTTTTTTCAATAAAATCGTTTGTAAACAAAAAAAAAAAGTTTCAAAGCTGATAAAAACACAAGTTGATTAATCATTTAGTTTTTGTTTAATGTCATAGCAGGTAACAATTTACCTATGTATTTTCTTCTAATGTACATTTTTATTTCCAGATTCTACAACTGTGCATTGGGAACCATGATTTGTTTATGCGGAGAAGAAAAGCAGACTCCCTTGAAGTGCAGCAAATGAAAGCTCAGGCCAGGGAAGAGAAAGCCAGAAAACAGGTGAGTCAGGAGTTGCATTGCCCAATTAGTTACAGGTGATTTGTGCAGTTATGAAGTGAAAACTGCATTTTGTTGTTTTGCAGCTTATAGTCCTGGGATTGCAGTCTGAAGACCCAATTAGCATACTCATTTGGCCGATCATAGTGTTTATGCACTTTGCCTTTTAAAAAATATTGGAGCTAATTTATTCATTTGCATATGTGGGCTTACTTTTAGTTTTGGGTATGCTAGAAACTAACCCTTTTGTACACGGTTTGTACAATTCATGTTTTGTTTTTTTTCCCTTTTTGCTTTTTTTGTTTTTTTTTTTATATATATTAATTGGGAAACAAATGGCTAGAGATATATTTGATTGGTATAAGATGTTTGGTGTCTGTAACATCACTGGTGAATGTCCTTGTGACACCTTGAGGAGAAATAAGGTTTTCCTCTTAAGAATTGCAGCTGAGCCTATAAGATGAAAAAATGAAAGGTTGTACACTTGAATGGAAGACATGTCATCAATGAAAAAAACACATTTTTCCTTCTTTTTTTTTTTTTTTTTTTTTTTTTTTGTCTCTTACCCATTTGAGGAGCTTTTCATCACTTCCTGTCCTTGTGACACAAAGTCTCCCTTATGGGAATATCTAAAAAAAAAAAAAAAAAAAAAAAAAAAAAAAAAAAAAAATAAATATATATATATATAGTTTTGGCTGGAGTAGGCGCTTTTTATTTTAGTGCCACTGTAAAAGCATAATTGTTCTGTCATTTCTAAAACATTTTTTTTTTTTTTTTTTAATTTTTCAGTACAGATTTTATTTACTCGTGCGTCTACATTACAAATCCTGTAAAAGTTTCCAAATCGGCTACAAAAATTAAACACCCTTATGTCCTGAACTTATGTTAGGTATTACAAATGGTATAGGGTGGTAGACATTCACAAATGTTTCAGGACTCAAAGAAATAATTATAAGGAATTTGCCATGATAGATTAATGGAAGGATCCATAACTGACTTGAAAATGCATGTTCCCTGGTCTATAACAAGTATAGGGATAAGTAGTTCTAATTTGGGGAATGCTTGTTCTGGGTATGACTCCAAAGTACTGAAGTCAGACAAAGACAGGCATTTTATCATTTTTAGGAAGAGGCCTGCATTGTCATCCTCTGTTTCTGTTATCTTATTTCATCATCAAGGCCAATCGGCTGTCATCAATATTCTGTGCTTTAAACTCAGGAAAAGTTGGTTCTCATGTTGTCATGAACTCAATTTCTTCTTGCAATTTTTTTTACCTTGTACAATCAGAATGTGTGCTGTTTTAGTGTGCGCTGGATAGAAATGCCTCTGATAGCACTGGTCCTCAATTCAACCTTGTGAAAAAAAAATCTTACTTGGTAGATTTATTGATTCATATTTAAATGTAAATAAAAGACATCAAAATGTCATATAATAATTCACAATGACTGCATGCAGTGGGATGAGATATTAAGTAAACAGGTACAGATTTACTGAAACCTTTGAATTTAATAGTTATTGATTTTTATTTTTTCTTGCTGCTGCCGATGGCACTTTCAACTGGTGCTTGAGAGTTATAGCGTCCCCTGTTATTTCACTGTAATCTTTACTTATATGGTTTGCTTCTAATGGAATATTTAAACCGCTGTCCAGGATGCCTGGCGCAATGATCCAGAAAAGCCATCTCTGTATCGCATCTTTCCAGTTTAAAAGAATTGAAAAGGTGCCTTGAAATGTCCCAATTTTGTCAAAGCATAACATCAGCTGATCTTCATTGAAGAACTTCCCAGAGAGTAAGTAGAAAGGCGTCTCTGTGATCTATCACTCCTCTATGGAAAGAAAATGGTAGTTTCCCAGTCAAGAGTTTGATGGATTTGATGCCACCTTTCAACAGTGTAGCTTCACTTAACCCATGCTCCCTTCTCTTTTGTGCTAAGGGCAGAGTATCACACATGCACAAGTAGATGGCAGGCCCAGTCCTTTCTGCAGTGTGCGTCTTAGTGTGATCTGCAATTACCCAATCCCCTGATGACAGCTGCGCTAAGTGTGGATGCTGCCGGACAGGAATGCTAATGCCATCGGAGGGAATGGGCCGTCGCAGTGTGACGCCTCTGCAGCACTTAGCATTCAAACACACGGCCTAAGCCATCGACTCATCTCCTCCCGCTCACTCATCCATTTGACTTGCCTGACTAGCATACAGATAAGTTGCACTGCATCTTTCTGCAATTCCATCCTCAACCACATGGGGCCCCCATTTATTAACAATAAATTAACTTTATGCCTTTTTCTGTGCCAAAATTAATTATAGTTTTTTTTTTTTTTTTTTTTTTTGTAACCTGGTGCAATAATATTACAATTACTCTGTTATCTGTTGATTTTTCTGTCTGTTTTAATATCTTAAGTGACTGCAATAAGACTCTAAGGTTTTAGGGTACAATCTAATATACAACCATGTAGTTATTAGGTTATATGTAGATATACGTTATGTACAGTGTTTAGATGATATTCTGAAGGTTGAACTCATTAGGAAAAATTTTTGCAAAAAGTGGCATTCTCTTGCTCCTGCTCATTTTGTATGACTTGTACTTCTGTAATGCATTCACTTTTGACCTCCAATGCCATCGGGTTTGTCTGTAATGGAGATCGATATTCTGTATAAGGACAAATGTTTTCATGGTGTCATTTTGCAGAGTACACAATTTATGGCACTTGGGTTGAATCTGTTTTGTTTTTCCAAGGTGAATGAGGTATGGTGCAGTGTATGAATAAGAAATAGAATTTACTTTTCAGGGCGGTTTTAGTATTTTGTCATGTTTCAAAGATGCAAGCTCCTGTTCTGGACTGTAACCTTACAGAAGTAATATAGCATTAACATCATAATATGTGATTTCTTTTTTATGGCTGTTTAAAGTACATGCAAACCCTCAGCTTGTAAAACAACCCATTCAGTTTAAAAAAGAAATGAAAGGCAACACGTGTGTATAGATATAAAACATTATAAATATCTTTTTTTTTCCTCTTTTTAAAAGTGATCACATGCCCTCTTAGCTGCATAGAGCGCTTGGAAAGGAGAAACAGTGGCTCACTGATCTTTCCAGTGAATGGCTGTACAGAGGGAGTGTGTCAGCACAAGTATGATAATTGGATTAACTCCAAAAAACTGACCATACTGACAAAGATGTGCTCTCATGCCTAGTGTGGTCAATTTTTAATAGGAAGGCAAAGTGACTGGCAGGAACACCAGGGATTTCACACAAATGAAGAGAACAGGCTACTTTTTCATACTAGTACATGGTATAGCAGGCACAGATCAGGAATATGAAATTTTGGGTTTACATATTCTTTATTATTATTATTATTATACAGGATTTATATAGCGCCAACATTTTGCACAGTGCTTTAAAAAAATGAAGGTAGACATTAGTTACATTACAATTTGGTACAAGAGGAAACAGAGGGCCCTGCTCGTTAGACCTTACAATCTAGGATTCTTTATTTGAGTTGGTTTTAAATATCATAGGATTTCTGGGAATTGCTTTTATTGCTGTGTTTTTCAACATAAGGTTCCTGAATCCTATATCCATGTATTTGAAATTGTACATCTCGCTGAATGTAAAAGTATCCTGTAGGGCCTGTTACCATTGGTCCGCAGTGTTGCGTTAGAACAGGTGGTTCACATCAACGTATTGCCGTGCACTACTAAGAAAGCACATTGATGTGCACTGCCTAGGTGCGTTGGGTAAGGCACTGAACTGTATTATTGTGTGTTACTGTGCATTGGGATAAGGTGCAGTAAAATGTGTGGTGTATAGATAGGAAAAAAAAAAAAAAATGTATATAACAGTTGTGCAAGAATTACAAACTCATGCACATGGACATTTTGGGCCATACTCTGTCCAGATCAGCTTTTTTCTGCAGTGGGTGCAGCCAGGTCTTTTCCATTAGCTGCAGGCAGTAATCCTGTACAAGTTAGTGATAGGCTGACACTACCTGCACTGTCCGCATGTTATCGCACTTGGTGCGTTTTTACCCGCGATTAGGGGCAGATGTTTTCCCCTGGACACAGACAACTTGGGGTTTATTTACTAAAGCTGGAGAGTCCAAAATCAGACTCCCTTCTGCATAGAAACCAATCAGCTTCTAACCTCAGCTTGTTCAATGAAGCTTTGGCAATGAAACCTGGAAGCTGATTGGTTTCTATGCAGAAGGGAGTCTGATTTTGGACTCTCCAGCTTTAGTAAATAAACCCCCTTGTGTCCAGGGGTGCACATCCATTCCTAACTGCATATAATTGCTCAGTGTGTGTGATTACATGCAAACATGTGTTTGACAGCCACTGGCAGCATCAGTCTGTCATTGATTTGTACAGGCTTACTGTCCGTGAATGGAAACACCTGGCTGTACCTGTCACAGAAATATGTTAATTTGGGGGGTATATGGCCTTAAAGTGGTTCTAAAGGCTCAGAGTTTTTTTTTTTTTTTTTTTTTTTTTTTTTTTTTTTTTTTACCTTCATGCCTATGCATGAAGGTAAAAAACCTTGTGTGCAGTGGACCCTCCAGCTCTCCTTAGTCCTTACCCGAGAACCCTCTGATCCAGTGACGTTCTCACCTTTCTCTGCTTTCTGGGGACTCTTCCTCTCATTGGTTGAGACAGCAGCGGGAGCCCATTGGCTCCCACTGCTGTCAATCAGTCGGGGGGCCAAGCCATGGCTCTATGTGCCCCAGGGGGCACTGCTTGAGAGGGGGGAGCCAAAAACGCTCTTAGAGACCTGAAAAGGAGAGAATCGGGGGCTACTTTGTGCAGAATCGCTGCACAAAGCAGGTAAGTATTAACATGTTTGTTATTTAAAAAAAACAAAGCTTTAGTGTCACTTTGATGAGCAGTGTGAATGAGCTCTAAAACAACAAATCGGAGCTGCCTATGGTTACTGCTTCTCAGCGTAATATAACTGTTAATGGTGGAGGTGGGTCCAATGTAGCTCGCACTGAATCTTAATTATTCT